AATAATTAATTAAACACAACTTCAAAAGCTATAAACCAAGATTTGATATTTTCTGGCAACTCAATCAACATCCTTATTCCTCCCAACCAGGGCATAATATCCTAGAACTGCACAAATCGCAGCAACAATATTCCCTTCCTTGATCAAAACCCTGACCACAAACTCAACAATCTCAGCCGTCAATTTCTTGCCCTCCACAACCAGAGCCTTTCTCGGCTTCCCGCAGAAAGTCAAGAGCACGAGGACGGTTATCCACGTCACCATGGTGGCCGGCACGGCCACCGCCAGCGCCGCCACAATGGACAAAACGCCGAAAGCAACGCCGAGAAGCAGAGAGGCGTACAGCACCAGCCACCCGGACGAGGAAGAAGTATATACTGACGTGGACTCGAATTCGTACCATGAGAGGACGGATTTGAGGAGGTTCCATGAGAGAGAAAGTAGGACGGCGTAAACGGATACAAAGAGGCAGACCCATGTTCTTCTCTTGCTCATTAGCTTGAGGAGCAGATTGGGATAATCTCGATTTTCTCGAATTGGGGGTGCGGAGGGTTGTGATTCTGTGCTGTCTGTTGCCGCCATGGATGAATCTGATGAGATTGGGTCTTTTTCTCCCTCTTTTTCGCTTTAAATGTTCAATTTTGATGGCTTTGCTTTGATTTTACTTTATGTGAAGGGTTTCCTCAGGCTGCAGCCGTATATTATATTTCAGCCCCTCTTTACTTTCCTTTTCCAATCACCGATGCTTCTTTTTGTTGCTTTTTGGGTGCTACTGTACTTTTTGGGCCATGTTCAACGGAGGGTAACGGAGTTTGAATAGAACTTTCAAATATTTTGTCAATTAAGTGAATCGTTATATTTCTTAGCTTTCAAAAAATTTCCCCTTCAAAAAATTTCCCCTTAATTCCAAAAAATTGGCATATCGTCACTATGGCAAAGACAAAAATCTCATCATTCCTCCGATATGCGTTTTTTTTCTTTTCGCTTAGTAAATTATTTTTAAAAAGTTTTTAAACTTCCTAGATGGTTGTCGGCTGCCGATCGCGGCCGATCGAAGGTGCGGTCAGTAGCCAGCTGCACCTACGGTCGACCGCGATCGCCGGCCGACCGCACCTTCGGTCGGTCGCAATCGCCGTCCGGCCGCCGTTCGTGCCGCCCAATTTTGACCGGTGGCCAGCCGTCGGGCAACTGATCGATAGTCGCCGAACCGTGCGGCTTCGTCGGCCAACCGTCGGCAAAGTTTATTATTATTTTTTTTTATTTTTTTAATATTTTTAATAATTAAAATTATTTAAATAAGTTTAAGCATATTAAATGTTTAAATATTTAAAAATATAATTGAATTAATCTTTTGATTTAGGTTAATTTTGATAAACTTTATTTTAGTAGTTATTAATAATACATTACTTGTAAATAATATATTATATATTAGTTAAATGTAATTATATTAAAATTATGATAATAATACTTTTTAATAATATTAATTATTAATAGGATGGTGCATCTAACTTTTGTATTTTCAAGAAACGAGTTAGTTGTAATATATGTAATAAAATGGTTTGTTGAGTAATTATTAATTTAAAAAATTATAATTAGTATTCTAATACAAGTTCAAAAAATCATACAGTTTTATTAATTAATTAGTTTATATAATTATATAATCAAAAAGTGGAATCATATTAATTATTTTGTTATGAATAATTATTTGATTTTATAATACTTTTAAAGATTATATTATATATATATATATATATTAGTTAACTGTAATTATATACACTAACTTTTTTTCCTCTTCCTCTCTCTATACCCTAATTTGCCGACTCCCTCGCCGTCTCTGCGCTTCTCCTCGCCTTCCCCGGCGAATAGTCGGCGTTCCTGCCGGCGGATGACCCTTAGTTGCCCTCCTTTGCCTCGATTTTGGGCTGGCTCCTCACTTTTTGCTCCATTGATGACGAGCGGTTGTTTGGCGGACGGTGTTCGCCGACCTCCAGATGCCGTTTGTGGTGGGGTCTTCCGGCCTCTCCGGTGGAGTGGATGTGCTGGTAGGTGGTGTGTGATTGGGGTGGGGAGGGGTTCTGGCTGCTTTCCGTCATCGGTGGTGAGTTGTCCGGGATTGATGAGCGTGGCTCGATCTCTCCGTTTCTCCGATGTTCTGGTGTGTAAGTCGGGGAAGACTGACACCTCCGGGCCTAGTCCAGTGGTGTTGGCAGGGTCCGGGATTGAGGTGTGTGGGGTGAGGTCTGGCTTCGGTTGTCCGGCTGTGGGTCGGCTACTATCTCGTGGTGGTTCGGGGTGGGGGATTCGACTTCAGCTAGGCCTATTGGCAGTTCCGGGAGTGGAGTCCTGACTGTGGATCTTGCTGTGGGTTGGTTGGCCTTTGTTCTGCCGGTGCCTTGTGCGGGGCTCGGGTATTTCAGCCGGGGAAGGGCTTTATGTGCCGTTTATTTTGGTTTTTTGTCGTTTGTTTATGTTGTGTTTAGTGGTTTGTGTGTTTTTGTTTGGTGTTTAGTTCGTTGTGTGTCGTGTTTTTTTCTCCTGTTGGGAGCTGAATTCTCCTGTTGGGAGCTAAATTCTGTTGGGAGCTGAATTCTCCTGTTGGGAGCCTGTGAGTGTGTTTTGTGTGTTAGTTTTGTATTTGTGATCCGATTAGGCTGCCTTGTGGTTGTCCTCCCAAGGATTACAGGCGTGTAGCTGCTCATTCCGGCTGTTACCGGTTGTTATCCGTTTGTAAATATTTGTTCTATTTATGAAATTATGNTTAACTGTAATTATATGAAATTATTTTATTAAGAATTAAATTTTATTATAACAAACTAATTACGTATTCATAGGATAATAAGAATTAAATTTAATAAATTATATGAATTAAAAAAAGTTTTTTACTAATTATTAGTTTAAATTGTGGATTTAGATTGGTAGTAGACCTGCACGACCAGCCACCGATACAAAGGATATCGAATTTATTGATTTTGGACCCTGACACACTAGGAGTCAATACGTGGATGCTTCCGATCGTTGGACGAAAGACACTGAGATGCAACGTCAGATTCGTCTGATATAGATTGGTCATGTTGACCAGTCTTTGAACGAGATGCGGTGTGGGGATTTTCAGGCTGGCGCTTCGAGAGGGCTCACTCCAGTACAGACCAGCTTTAGAGTTCAACAGTCCCGCTTCGAGCAACAAGGTGATTATGATGAGTCTTATTTCGAGAGGCTGCAGTTCTCAGAGGATTCTCGAGCAACAAGGTGATTATGATGAGTCTTATTATGATGTGTGTGTGCGCGCGTGTGTGTGTGTGTGTTCTATTCTAATGTCAGGTAGTAGCAAACTATCTAGAAGTCTACCAGCGGAAGACTGGATCGTTTCAGGCCCAGTGCCCGATGGCCCCCTTGATGGGAGTGTTATCCCTAGATTTATAGGGCACGTAGCATCCCGTATATGGATTGGAGAGTTTAGAGGCATACTGAAATGCCAGAATAGACAGGGAGCGCACGAGAAGTTGAGGAGTTGGCTATCTATTATGCCTCGTGCTGCACGTGATTTGATAGGTCGGACTAGGCTGTCAGATCTGGTGGATTCCATGCATACTCCTGTGGACAGTTCACTTATTTATGCATTTATTGAGCACTGGCAGCCTGATACTAACTCGTTTCACATGCCGTTCGATGAAATGAGTATCATGTTGCATGATGTTCAGGAGATTTTTAGGGTTCATATAGAGGGAGAGATAGTTAAAGAGGACCTCGACACTAGCTCTTGCCAGGTTTACTGCATGGAGATGTTGCAGCTCACAAAAATTGAGCTGATTTAGTCTTTTTGGCAGCATGGTACGGTGACAGTTTCCTCGATTTTGGCAGCACTTGAGGCGACAGTTTGGTCGCTTGTGGATCAGTCTACTGCCAGGGTGTGGATGATGCTAGGTACCACCTTGTTTGTTGAAAAGAGTGATAGGAGAGTGAGTCTGAGGTTCCTGCACGAGATCATTGAGGACTTGGATAGTGTTCAGACTTATTCTTGGGGTTCAGGTGCACTGGCTTACCTGTATAGACAGTTAGGCATTGCCAGTAAAGGTGACGCGCAGGGACTTTTTGACCGTTTGACTCTTCTTCAGTCTTGGATATATGAGTATTTCCCCTGCTTCTGACCCTATAGAGAGCATCTGGTCACCGATGATGACTATGTCGCCCGATCTCGCTCGTGAAGCGTAGGGGTGACGGAGAGATTAGAACATCGTCTCACCTCTATCCGTCGGCGCCTTGACACTCTTACCGCCTCTGATGTACGTTAAGTAATTTTATTTAAATTTAGTTTAAAGTTCTTTCAAATAATAGAATTATTTTAATATATGCAATTGCGAATATGTGCAATGGTTTCTATACGGCTCCAGCTCAACTTCGACAGAGCCGAGGACCCTTTATTGCGGATGCCTTAGATACCTTGATATTGTGGAGCCGTACTTGCTTGTCCGGTGTTTGCATCAGCTAAGCTTCGTCGAGACTATCCCTCCTAGCATGACCCCCACCAGTGCAATCAGAGTAGTACGTGCTTGGGAGTATAGGCTTTACAGGGTTGAGCATATTGATAGTGTTGCAGTAGATGCCTGTCACCAGTTCCCAGTGTTGTCGCGTGTCGACATGACTATTTACACCCCCACCACACACGATCGAGGGGAGTCCGATGAGCGGTACTTAGAGTAATACGCCCGGTTTTTTCGTCATATTCTATTGGGTGATAGTCTGCCAAACAAGCACACGGTCCCTACACGCGCCAATACCGATTATGTAAGTCCTTTACTGAATTTTAGAATGTTCTTTTATTACAATATATTTTTTAAAATTATATATGATCATATATTTTAATTCTCATATTTTATCTAGTGGGACAATCGTCTCTTCTCCCTTACATCATACTTCTGCAGGGATTATGAGAGGGTTTCTTATAGTTTGGCAGCGCATTATGCAACATTAATGGCTAAGTACAAGGCAGATTGGGACAAAGCGCAATGATGTTTAAACATTGATGTTTGATTTTATTGTTAAAACTTTTCCTTGAGATTTATGGTTTGTTTCTTTTTTATTTTTTGTTAATTCATTTTATTTTTATCTATCTCCANCTAATACAAATTTTGACAAGACAAAAAAATTAAAATTGAGCTGGAGTCTATACTAGCCTTTAAATACCCCCGGATACATGTAATGGGCTACTACTACAATCACGTGTAGCCTTGCACTCTTCTGCAACGACATCTAATTATTAAGTTGGGATAAGGTTTGCACGGTTGATTGTTGGACCCGTTAGTGCACGTATTTTTTATTTTTTTAATTATAAAAAATGATGTGACAGTAGATTTTAAAGTTGATGTGATATTGATTTTAAATTTGATGTGATGTGTAGAAATAACATGAATGGGCATATCTGTCGTCCTATACTCACAACACAACATTCAGCATTTGAATAAAAGTGGAGTTTACGTACTATAAATGATTATTATAGGAAGCACCTCCAAACAAAGGAAAAAAATGCGAGTCCAAACCAAAAAAATAACGAGATAGGCAATCTGGTGACAAATATATAGCGATTGATGTAACCATCCACGAGCTTAGGTACCTGTGAGAATGTAACCATTCCCTAAATGGTGAGAAGGCGGAATTAGAGCAGAAGCATTCTCTCCATCAGAATACCGATACGAGTAATAATCCACCACAACACTATTATTGTTAACTGTGTCATCACGTCCATGAAACCTATTGGCATCCACATCGCCAGTGTTGACAATAAAATTATTATTATGACTATATAGAGGTTGTGATGGCGGACACACGCACACACAGAGGGCCTTGTACAGCCTGAGCTCCTCACACACACGTCGGTAGTCTCCATAAGGCCCCAACACCGGATCTTTGTGGCGGCACAAAGCCTCCCACACAAGCGACTCCACGGCCACCTTCCTCTCCTCCTCTTTCACCCTCCTTATCATCTTGCTCACGTTGCTGACGCCAAACACCTTCTGCACTGCCTCGAACTCGCGCACCTTCTCTGCTGGGAAAAAGGGCGCCAGCATGCACTTTCTCGTGCACTTCTTGCGTTGGTGCTTGCACGATGCGCATGCCGCCTGCCCTGTGCTTCTCTGCATCTTGCTACGTACATATACCCATTTTCATGGGGTTTCGGGTATTTATATTGTATGAAGTTTTCATTTCAAAAAAGTTAAAATGGAAAGATTGCCCAAGTTGATTGGATGAGGTCATAGGTAGAGAAGACTTAGTTAATATGGTGGTGCATGTAAAGATGGACGCCTAAACTAATCATCTTGATGTTTTCATTTCAATTGTAGATAGTTGGCTCACATGAAGAGTGAGAATATGAAATATTATATTACGATTTATATTATTTTCAATAGGATGAAAGATGAATCAGGTACAGCTATGCATAATAATATCATATACAAACACTAGAATGTTACACTTTATATACACACGCACCTACTTTCTACTACAAAACCAGAACTATGAAAGCAGACAAGATCTATATATGATACAACAAAGATATAAACACAGTAAGGAGACTTTCTCAACCGTTAGTGCTATGAAGGTTCCGAGTTTAGCAACTTGTTTAATTCACACTCCTCCATACCCATTAACATAGCAAGAAAGCTACAGTCCTCACTTTTCCTTCTCTTGCAAATTTGAGATGAATGGGAATCTTTTGTTTCCTCTGGAACAAGATCTATTTGAATCTTTTGCGTCAAATTCACATCTTCTTTCAAAACTGCTCTCGCTTTCCCCTGAACCACGGCCCCACTTCCAGCATTAACAATATCTTCATTTCGGTGTGCGTATACAGCACCTGAAAATAGGATACAAATAAACTACTAAGCTCCAACACTGACAAGTCACATTTTCCAACAAGATGACTTTTTGGCGAAACAATTATATGCCATTATTCTAATTCTGTAACAAAGCTGTACTCACCAAGATCTTCCAGAGTTGTGTTTGTTCTTGTCTTTCGCTTATCTTTAGTAGGCTCGTTAGTTTCAGAACCTACTGAACTCTTTGTACCAAGATCAAAATCAACTCCTACTTCAGTGGAGTTGATGCTTGTACTATTGTTGATAGTGGGTTCTTCCCCTTGTATCTTTTCATGAAATTCTACAATCTCACTAGTGAAGAGCTCATTGGAAAGATCACGGAACAAATTGCAGATACCAAACAACTCGCCTTGGAACTCCTTGCAATCCTTTACAAATTCATTTGAAATGAGTAGGGAAAACAGAACAGATGTAAGGAATAGTTCAAAGAGGAAAAAAAAAAAAAAAAAAAAAAA